GTTGAATTTAAGGTCATTGTTTTAACAATAGTCCTCTTTATCTGAGAAGTGAACAACTTAGCTTCTATTTTTCTTATACTAATTGGTGTGTAGTAATAAGTAGACTGAAGCTAGGAGAATACACTTCACTATTCCCCTTTAGCGGTGGTTTTATAGACTATTCTATATTATAAGAAAAATTATCCTAAAATCACTCAATTTCATAAAAGCTACTCAACTAAAAGCAATTTCAGTATTCACTAGTTTCGAAAATAAACTTTTCAAAGTCTTTGACAAAAACTGTGACTCATGGTATCGAATCTGGGTGATGACTGAAGGTGACATGAAAAGTTGGGCGGCATCGGATTTGACCATGAGAGCACCGGGTTCACAGCCCACTACTCTATAACAATTTTTAAAATTTATGGACAAAATCTACTAAAATTAACGAACTTATTATGAGCTAACCTAGCTGTTGAGAGAACGGATGCAGATTGTGAGCATTTTTTCCCTAAACCACCACTGTTTCATATGGAAACAGATGAGACACTTGTGTCTTTTTTTCTGAATAATTTCGAAGTTCTATAAAAGTTCATGGAAGCAGCAACGTGCCAACAGCCATTCATTTTGGTGAGAAGACTATGTATTCACTATAAAAGGCAACATTGGAAGAATCTCAATATGATAGATAAAGTCGAAAACAACTGTGATTTAAAAATGTTCAGAAATATACTGCCTGAATAAAGCATTCCATATTATAGTCCTTCTATGCTTGATAGCTTACAAACTCTGCCTTCAGCCAACTATTTTCTTCTTAACCCCGCCTAGTTAACTAGTTTAGTAGTTACTAGCCAAGCCTAAGCCCAGATAAAGAGGGAAGGTTGGGCATAGGGCTAGCAACCCTACCCCATAAAACCAATCTGACCGCTAATGAAACTTCGAAGCACAAAGTAAATATAAAAATAAACTTATTCCTCACTGGAATCGGGGAGATGAAATGACGCCGGTTGGTGGAAGTCTTCGAAAAGCCAATTGGCTGATGTGTCTTCTCTCTCTCGATGAAAGCAAAAGTAAACATGGGGACATAAAATGTCCGCACTATGTTTGAGCCCAGCAAGGCTGCGCAGATCGCAAAAGAGATGAAAACGCGTAGCAAAGAAGTGCTAGGAATCTGCGAAAGCAGATGGAATGGAAGTGGACTCTCCAAACTGTCAACTGGAGAGGAGTCAATAATCTACTCTGATATTGTCACTCAGACGACAACCACGAGCACACTGAGTCTTCGAGTGACTGTCATGATATCTCCAAGGGCATCGAGGGCTCTCATGAAATGGGAACCAATCTCCTCATGCAGGATCACGACAGCAAGATTCAACTCACCAAAAGGAAGGAAAGTAACAATCATGCAGTGCTAAGCTACGCACCTACAAAATAATGCAGATCAAGAGAAGAAGAAGGAATTCTATAGACAAATGGAGTCAGTACTGGACAAGACCAAAGCTGGCGACATGAAAATTCTAATGGGTAGGTTGACATGAGTGCCAAACTGGGAGCAGACAACACAGGAAGAGAATTCATCAGGTGTCAAGAGGTACTAGACGAAATGAACGAGAATGAAGAACTGTTTTCAGACTTCTGCGCATTTAACGATTTGGTGATTGGAGGAAGTGTGTACTAAGAGGCATCAGTTTCATCAGATGAACATAATAAAAATCAGACTGAATTCATATCAATCTCAAGAGAGTGAAGACGCAGACTACAAGATACAAGATCAAGAAGGGGAGTAGATGTTCGTAGATTCACACCACTCACTATCTAGTGAAAGGAAACTACTTTCAAAATCAAGTTGAAAGCCTTCAAACAACAAGGTGATAGACCACAGTTCAAGTTGAACACCCAGAACAGAAACTGAAGGACGAAACTACAAAGGACATCTTCACATCAGTCAGTCAGTCGGTCAGTCAGTCAACAGGACAAAATGGGAGACATTCTGCAACATCCCTGAAGAAACCTGTGTGGAAGAACATTGGAACTCTTTGAAAGTGACGTGGGAGGAAACCTGCATAAGTGTGTTAGTAGGGTAGAAGAGGGGAGATTGGCGAAGGAATGGATCTCGATGGATACATGCAAGCTGATAGAGGAGGGAGAAGAAGAAGATGGTGAAGCAGAAGATGAACCGGTGCAGTGCAGTCCAGGCCCTTGAGTGGAACCCGCATGGTAAAGGACGAGTTTGGCATCCGAGGTGAGGGTGACATGGAGGAGATTGTGTGAGGAAGAAGTGAAAGGTTTTGGGCAGTGGTGAGGCCAGGTTGGAAAGACTGGAGAGAAGGGAGTGAAATTAGAACGTGCTACTGAAGCTGTATGTTCTACTTGGAACCCAAAGGACAAATAAAAGAGTAATAGTAATTGTCTTCTTTAAAGTTAACATGACATTCTGTCATAGTATCGACCCTATATAAATAACTACCAACTTATAATATTGTACTTTAAGTAAACTCAACCATAACTCACCATTAATCCATTCCATGCATTCAACTTGACTGAGTCCCCTAAGACGCTGCATAATGCTAGCTCGAGTATTTTTATACGGTCTGAAGAGAATAATGTACATCTGAAATAATATGTTTGCTTTTAGTTTCATTTTGTTTTAACTTTTGCAAATTAGAAAAGTGAATTTAACAAATGATATACCTATACACTGTTATGGTTAAAGGTCAAACGTAAATGAAAAAAATCACTTAAAAATGTGATAGATAGTAACCACATTATTCAGTCTGAAAACGATTCGTTTGCGGATAAGCATGTGCTAACAACAGGCATCTTGAAACAAGTATAGTAATTACTTTGTAAACCTGGTAAAGTTGGAATCATGATCAACATTCTTGATAGATATTTTTCTGGTTGTAAACTGTGAGTCTGTTTTCAACTACTCATTCCTTAGATTACTACTTCACCTGTATGGCATAATAGCACGAAAATCAGTTTTGGAGATTTTGTAATGAACTGCTATGGAATATGTAGACTCGATGAATCCATGAATACATCTTGAATTTAACCACCTGCTGGAAAAACTCTTTGAACTTATAGACAAAAGGATAGATAAGAGATTCTTTCTTATATTTTCTTTTAGTTTCATTTTACGATGGGATTAAGTTATACAAACCAGTCGGTTGTGTTACATCAGGCTGACAGGAAGAATTGTGTGACAAGAGACCTATTAATCTTTTCAACTGGAATTTTTAGTGTATCTAGTATGCAGGAGTTCTTTGACTAAAAACAATCAGAAAACAGTTTATTACTTCCAGGCAGATACTTAACAAACAACGAAACACAAACAGGATTGTTTTTACTGTCATTTCACTGAATTCTATTATTGGTTCAATCAAAGCTATGAAAATTCGGAATTCAAATGTCAAAGTTTATATTACTGACCACTGGGTTACTGAGTAGACAGACACTTCTTGTGCAGCGGATATCAGATATTATTGACTGCTACTTGTGCAAATAAATGCATATGGCTTGGCTTATAGGTGCTGAGGATCCAAGTATATAAAGCTGATGGGTCCCAAATAAGATAGAACGTCTATCCTGAGCTTTCCTGATACCTATCACCGATCAGAGGATATAATCAGTCTTCACGTAATATAGGGGCAAATGTTAGGAGCCCGGGCACTAGCAGAGACTGGTCAATTCTGTTCAAACAACTTACTATCAGGAAAGTATAAGTATCAATAGATAGTAATCAATGAAAGACCATTATAGGATCAGCATCGAATTAATTGGGACACGTACTACGTATGCCTAGTCACCGATTGCCTCGTCACGCAATGTTGGCTAAGGTGGGTTCAGGCTGGAAAAAGGCCCGAGGTGGCCAGACTAAAACATGGCACCAATGAATGAAGTCTCTGACTGTTGGTTTAAGCCATGTAGGACGATGCAGACTAGGTGGTTGGGGTCCGCGGGATAAGAGGAACCAGTGGTTGGAGACCCTAGGGGATATGGCTCAGAACCGAAACTAGTGGCGCAGATGTATAAACACATTATCCTCATCTTAACTACACTATACCGAATCTCACCATTTTGTTGCTCCTCTTTCCTTTCTTCTCGTACTTTATATTTCTTTTGACTGCATTCACTTATCTTCATCCTTCACCTCACTACCTTTCTACTTGATGAACTGACATGAAGTGTGGCAACTCGGACCGTTAAGCATGAATGTCTGGTCCTATGTTGATAATGATTGATTGATTGATCGAATCAATTTTCGAGAAAATGAAATGTAGAAGTTTACTTACAAAGTAGAATTCATGAAATACAAACATGCTAATTCTGCTACCATTCTTCCTTTCGCTTTTTTCAAATATTTAAATGAGTTAGTATAATATAAGCTTTAATATTGTGAATTCTGGTTTACTATCACTTTGATGAAGTCATTTATGCTTATTTGTAAATGTCAGTTAAAACAGTTTTATTGTTTCATACATTCAGAAACATGCACCTTCAAGTTGAGGATTTTAGTTATCCATTGACCTAATTTCATTGGACTATTGGGTTAAAACATGGTCTGTAATAATCGCTGTTTACTTGGTCAGGACTGTCAATTTTTTAGAACAGTTTCGGTAGCTTTACCATTGATACTTTACTGATGCAGTATAACAGAATCCGTGTAACCGACCATCTGCAATGTTGAGTATTACGTGAAAAGCGAATACAATAAAATTTCATCTCAAATTCGAGAAACTTATTATTACTTTATTTGTTGGTTTAAAATCCATAGATTTTGAGTGATGTTTAACGTTATGACGGGATAGGTATGATTATTCTCTTGTTAGGACTAGTGGATTATTCAAAATATACATTATACCCTCGTTATTCTCAACCACAAAAAATGAATTCATTTATCAAATTATTTCAAAGAAAACATTATCAGCATAAATCTCAGTAATGAAGCTGTTTTGAAGAAATCTTTCATTTGGTTCTGTAATGTGGTGTGCAATATAGGAACGCTCATATTTATAGTTTTTAGTTAACATATATTCAGTATGTCCCAATCACTAGGCTGAAAAAAGAGGTATCTGCACTTAATTTATATATGTGAGGTAGGACATACAAGAAGGTAATCTCTATCTATTTTTTGTTTCATCCTAGGTTTGTCTTTAGTTACCTTCAGTTTAATTTAATGTTTCGGTATATGTTAAAAAGATTATAATGAAATCTGTGAAAGTTTTCTTAACAAGAAAAACTGGTAATTTCGTTCAAATTACTTGGCATCATGAACTACAAGTAGGTGGTTTTATCTTCCTCTTCAGTGCAGAGGTGTCATAAAAATGTGTTGTACAGTTAATTTCGTTCAATTGAATTTGAGGGTTTGTGGGGGTTTAGAAGTTTTTCAAGTTTGTTTTCATCGTGAACTGACATCAGTTAAAGAAACATTGGAAACCTCGAAGCACTGGACAGCTGTTTCGTCCTAGCATAGGACTCCTCATCAGAGGGCACCCACCACTCCGCCAGAGATCGAACCCGTGAACTTCAGGTTCCGTGGCCAACACATCACCATTGATCGACTGAGTCAATATACAGTGGTCCATACTTTAAACTTCTGTCAGTTCATGACATAGAGCAACCGCAACCTAATGTTATCGCTGAGTATTTCTCCTCATAATCATAAGGTCTGACCCACTGGTCACGACTTCTCACTGAGATTTCGGGAATCGCCTCTCGAAGCTAGTCACCAATGAGCACCAGTTCAACCAAATTTAGGGGTTTGTGGGTTCGATCCTTGGTGGGGTCGGGGGTGCGCACTGCTGAGGAGTCCTATACTAGGATGAAACAGCTGTCCAGTGCTATCAGGTTTCTAATGTTTCTCCAACTGATATCAATTCACGATGAATACTTTCGTTCACTTTGAAGTTTAGTAGGGATTTACTTATCTCAAGGAGGTATTTATCATCGAATGACAGCAGTTGTGTTACTATCCACTGCTCATGAGATATAGCCTTTGGGATGAGATTTCCAGAAGTTTTAGTGAGAAGTGACCTTTGGGGAAGACCGAGTTGAATGTGAGGAAAAATACTCAACAACAGCATTAGATGAAGATCACGCTATATTTCAAATTGTCAGAAGTAGGAAAATGTGAACCATTAGATTTCAACTTAGTGGCATAATAATAATAATAATAAGCTAGTCTTGAAACCTGAGGGTCCTGAGTATGACCCCTGGAAGGGTCAATATGAGGAGTCCCATGCCAGGACGAAATAACTGTTCAGTGCTTCCAGGTTTGCAACGGTTCTCCAAACGGTGTCAGTCAGTGGTGAATACAGTCTTAAAGTTAGTTTTGCTGTTCATCTCTAGACTGATTATATAGCCTGACCATACTACTCATAACTTCTAGCTATTTGATAACACTCTGATTTTTTATAATCTTTTTCTTTGTGTTGTGCAGATTGTTTACTTCTTATTCAGTGAATTATCGGATATCTTATCAAGGTTCAACTACCAACAACAAAATCATATATTGTTTTGAACGAATTTTGAACGTAATGGAATGTAATTAACACCCTGGTAATTCATTATGAAAAATATGCCACCCTTTAAACTAATAAACTACTCACAAAACAACACACACATGTTGAAAAACGAATAGTAAACAGTAGAATTAACATTACCTTTGGTAGAATGAGTAAACTGAATTCGTTTGTGGCAGTAGCAATCAATAAGAAACTTAAGGGTACCAACTCTAATGTGGTTTTTTGAGCATAATACATAAGTACTGGCGTTGTGACAAAGCAAATGCAATTAATATAATTAACAAATGCTAAAGCTCTGGCTTCATTAAATCCACTTGGTACTTTGCGTATTTTATAAGCATACACAGTTGACAAACACATCAGTATCAATGGTATGAATATTGTAATGATTTGTTTAATAGTAAAGTTTGGAAAGCATAACATTAAATTGTTTGGTAGTCCATGAACTATCAGATGAGTAATATTACTGACGAATCGGTTAGAATCGCCATCATTGGAAAGCATCACTGATCTTCTTGTATCTATTGTAGAATATGGAGAGTTTGCTTCATAATCAGATAATATCAAGTTTGGAGAAGTGGGCGAAACTCCACAAATTATAGACAATACAAGCAATTGTGTAGCACAGGATACACTGATTATTATAAGCTGTGACGCTGGACCAGAAATTTTCTGTGGTCTCAATCCTTGTAATTCACTTACCTTGTTTTCATTGTTTGTTTTTTTAAAAGAAAAATCAAAATGAACCATGAAACCGGTTCACGCAGAAAATAAAATATATTAGGATATTTTAAAGCATGACTGAAATGAATTCAGTAGTTAGTACTCTTCATGGATGCATCATAAAGAGCAAATATAGAGAATCTTAAAAGTGAGGTGGCGAAAGCACACGAAAAATTATGTCTGTGAGAAGAAAACAACAGATTTCTTGTTTTCATACTAGGTGATGAATGACGGAAGTAAGGATCTACGGATTATTCGAATGTGATCCAGCGGCTGAATGGTTGCTACGTTCGCCTTGAACCCTGAAGAATAACAGTTTGATCTTTGTCTGGATCATGGGATTTCACTACTGAAGGATTTTAATATTACAACTCAGAACTTTTAGTTGATACTGCATTTCGGGCTGTAATAGGTTTCTTCTGATTAAGTAAAATACAGCTTCGAAAACAGATAATCAGTTAGAATTTCTGTGACACGCATCTGTTTAATGCAAAATCAGAAGCGGCTTTTCAACTAACCGTAACAAATGTCATACGCTAGAGTTGAATTTCCGTGTTGGACGTTATCATACCCCCAGATATACGTTACAGTCTCTCTGATGTATCGCGACAGTTATCAGTTATCAGCAATAATTCTTACATGGTCGTAAAATTATTATTATCATTATTTGTCTCTTGGGTTCCCAGTGGAACATACAGCTTCAGAAGCACGTCATAATTTCACTCTCTTCTCTCCAGTCTTTCCAACCTGGCCTCACCACTGCCCAAAACCTTTCACTTCTTCCTCAAACAATCTCCTCCATGTCACCCTCACCTCGGACGCCAAACTCGTCCTATACCATGCGGGTCCCACTCGACAGCCTGGTCTGGCCTGGTCTGGCTTGTGATGTCCCTAATCGGTCTTCTCAGTGTATGCCCAACCCAATCCAATCCATCTCCACTTTCTTCCACATATCTGTTGGGCGATGGGTTCTTGCCTCCTCGGTTCGTTGTGGGACCAACCAGAGTGAGTTCCTCCTTGCTTTTTCTTTTCATTCTGACCATCCATCTGATCTCCATCTTCAGTGTCAGTATCGAGTAGAGTGATCGTAGGTGACTGCTGTTGATGCACGTCTGTAGTTCGTTGGAAATGCTTTGCGTAACGTGCCAAGTCTCTCAACCATCACATAGAAGCACTGACTCACTTGACTGGATGAGTGTTGAAAATCTGGATGTTGTTCACGGTTTATGCTGAGTGGAGTGGAGTGGAGTGGAGTAGATCTCCACACTGGTTTCAGGTGAATGCAGGGAGGACTGTCTTGCTGTCTTTCCGATCCTGTCTTTGACGTCCTCATCTGTGCCTGTGCCGCCGTCTGTAGTTGAAACGATGCTGCCTAGATAGGTGGGTGGGTGAAAGAGACAACTTCCTTCAGAGTTCTCCCGTTGATGGTGATTGGTGTTTGTTGTTGTTGCTGCTGCTGTTAATTGGGTATCTTCATCACCTCTATCTTCTTTACGTTCACATGAAGGGAAGTCCCGTCTTCGCTGCCTTTTCTCTCCTCTCAACTTGTTGGTTTTTGCCTGTAGATCTTCGAGTTTATGCGACATGACATTAGGCACAACTCATCATTGCTGAAATTCAAATCTTCCTCTGGTGTCTTTTCATCAGTCCAGCCAGTCTGTGTCCCCCTTCTCCCTCCCCACAATTGTATGTTGCATGGTCCAGTCCAGTTCAGTCGACCACAATCAGGAATATCAGCGGTGATAGTAGGCAGTCTTGTCTCACTCCTTCCTTTCTTCACTGCAAAGGAGTCACTGAGCTACCTATCCATTGTGGATCACTTGGCATGTGGCGTTTTCATATAGCTGTTAAATGAGGTTGACAAAGGTTTGTGGCACTGAAACCGTAGTGTTGAAGCAGCAGCTGCTAAATTACTTCTGATTTGACGCTGCCGAAGGCCTTTTCAAAATCGATGAAGTTGAGGTAGAGATAGAGAGTTGACTGGCATTCTATGTTCTGTTCTATGATGATGCGTAGTGTTGCGATTTGATCCTCAAATGGTTGGTTCTTCCTGAATCCAGGCAGCCAGCCAGCCTGTTCCGGTCATAATTTTGAATCCAGTGCATTGTTTGGTCTCTGCAGGATAATGCGGCTTAATACTTTGCTTGCTTTTGGTGGACAGCAGCATGATTCTGTGCCAGTTCTAAGACTAAGGTCTTTCTTCTTTGGAAGTTTGACAATGTAACCCCTCTTCCAGTCGGAAGGTGCTTTTCCTTTCTTCATTGCAAAACTTCTGCGGTAGTGGTGCGGTGTGAGCATGTGCACTGCTGACGTGCCTGCGTCTGTTTTCAGTGCTTCTGCATAAATTCCGCGTGGTCCTGCTGCTTTCCCGGATTTCAGCAACTTTGTGGCGTGACGTTCAGGACTTCTGCTTTTGAAGGACGGTTTGTGTTCACCAGTAGTTCTGTGGCTGGGGTTGGCTGGGCTGCTGGTATTTCTGGAGGAGTTGCAGGTGGTGTTGGTCGATTCAAGAGTTGTTTGAAGTGGTCAGCCCATTGTTTCCTTTGTTTCTCCTTTTTGGCGGTAACTAGCTTTCCTTCACTATCTTTCACTAAATTCATCTGTGTTGATCTCTTCCCAGATAGTGACTTGGTTATTTGATATAGTGTTGTCATGTCTCTGTCCCTCTTACAAGCAGCCTGTCTGCTTCAATTGCCAATGTGTCGTGGAAGTGTCTTTTGTCTTTGTGCGCACTCTTCTTCATTTCCTTGTCCAGTGTAGTCTTTTATACGTTGTGTTCAATTAGTCTTTTCCTTGTTCATCCGTGCACTGCACTGCACCGGTTCATCTTCTGCTTCACCATCTTCTTCTTCTCCCTCCTCTATCAGCTTCCATGTATCCATCGAGATCCATTCCTTAGCTAATCTCCCCTCTTCTACCCTACTAACACACTTATGCAGGTTTCCTCCCACGTCACTTTCAAAGAGTTCCAATGTTCTTCCACACAGGTTTCTTCAGGGATGTTGCAGAATGTCTCCCATTTTGTCCTGTTGACTGACTGACCGACTGACTGACTGATGTGAAGATGTCCTTTGTAGTTTCGTCCTTCAGTTTCTGTTCTGGGTGTTCAACTTGAACTGTGGTCTATCACCTTGTTGTTTGAAGGCTTTCAACTTGATTTTGAAAGTAGTTTCCTTTCACTAGATAGTGAGTGGTGTGAATCTACGAACATCTACTCCCCTTCTTGATCTTGTATCTTGTAGTCTGCGTCTTCACTCTCTTGAGATTGATATGAATTTGATCCTTTTTTAGTCTGTCTATCTGGTGAAATTCATTTCGCTTATCGTGACAATATTCTAAAAATATGTGAGTACTAACTTATCAGTCTTGATGAAGATGAGTTCTCGCTTTTGTCGATTTACTGGTAAATTTTTTATTTGAATAACTAAATCATAGACAGTTTCAAATCTTGGAAGCTTTCATGAAACACTTACGTGACAGACATCATTGTGTTAACAGTATATATGTATATTTACCAGGTATATGCCATGGAAATTATTACAGATCATCTCTTGAACCAGTATTTTATGAACCGCATAAGAAATCAGAGCAAAATTATTACAACACGAAATGTGCTATCAGCTACAAATTTTCAACTTCATCTAGACATAAGTGATAGCGGTAAGACTGTTTTTCATTTTATTTACCATGATAAATCCTTTTGCTTGGAGATCTGTGGACAGTTGTCATTCAGTTCTTCTCGCCAATGTGTGTCGACCAATAGTTATTCTTATCATGGACGGAATCACTTTTTCTAAACTAAGTAGTCAAAATCCTAATGCAGCACTTATCAGTTATAATTGTATTTGCCCAAGTAGAATGCACTTCACTGGTCTTGTTATGAAAACGATACAGTGCTTCAATAAATTGGAGTTTGTTTATTCTATGTGCACTATTAGCTAGGAAACTGAATTTATTCAGGATGGTATTTGAGGTATCGCCTAGTATTGTAGATGAAAAGGGGGATTTAAGAAGTTATTGGCTAAAGTAGTAAACAAAGCAATTACTCTTAGGTTGGCGATTAGAAAATGCTTCCATTTCACTTCCTGTCTATCAAACAGATAAGTTAGAATTCTATTTATAGTTAAAGGGTAAAAATATGTACACTTCACTAGTCAATTTATATGACTTTGTAAACGGTATTCATCATCCACATGATTGTACATTCAAAACTCATGAATGCTAACAACTTTAAGGGGTTGTTACACTGAATTTACACATAAGACTAAGTATGCTGTAGTTAGTCTAGCTCATAATCATAATTTGAGTTTAATTGCTTCAATGGAAATTAGTGATCTTTGGATATTTCCCTCTGAAGACAAACAGCAATTAAGTAAATGCTGGAAACGTGAGGATTATAGGCAGATAATGTCATCAAGGTGTGAGACACTTTATTATTTTAGCACTTTGGCTTTTTGGAGTTTCAAACCTCAACCCTTAGGATCTAAAATCGCTTACATTACAACCAAGTTAGAACTCAGTGTTGAATCCTTCCAGCTTCGGCTGCATCATGATCTATAATAAATATTACTAAATGATATCTCTGAGTGTTATGGGGTACTTCCAAATCAGTTGTCGTTACAACTGGAATTCTGTTTGGATTTCCAGAAATCTTCTATCTGGAGCGAATCGCTAATAAGTAGTACGGTTGTACGAATCCAGGGAAATATGATACTGTTTATGTGTATTAAAGTTTAATCACTGTTTGCACTTGACAAAATCAGTTGCGCTTATACGTCTAAACAGCTAATCACAATATATGCAGACAGCACTTAAATAGGAAGTAGAAGCTTAAGACTAAATAGGTAAATGATTGTTATTCTTACTTGAAATATTGAGTTGATTCGCGAACTTCTTGCAAAAATAGCTGAATAAGTAAGTGTAATACAGAAACCAACAGAGAATATTGCGAAATTACATATAAATGTTGATGGAGGTAAAGCAAGAATTAATTCACCTGATATATATGATAATATAATGCCTAGAAATAATATGATTGATGTTTCTTTTCCAGATGCTTTAACAATAGGTGTTTGCCAGTTTTTTATGCATACAACTGATACAATTAAACAAAGAATCAAACCAATGGATGATATTCCAACTGAGGCTTGTGCAACTATTTCTTGTATAGACATGTATTTTATTGGTAGCATTTGACATTTTGTTTGGTTTTTATTCGGTCTGTATCCGGGATTGCAAAATTGACACATAGCTGACATAGCATGATAGAAGCTTCGTTCGTAGTTATTATTACTATCCACAACTGAAGTAACAATTTGTTGTGATGAACAATTTACACATGTCCAACAACATGAACGACCCCATTCAATACGCTTTATTTGTCCTACATTACATGGCTTAGAACATACAGATTCAGGAACTGTTTCGTGAATATAAGTTGAAATATTCTCATTTATGTAGTAAAAGCCTAAAAGCAAAATAGTATATTCGTTTAAAGTAGATCTTTAAAGTGTAACGTGCTCATATAAGTTAGATTAAGCAGGTTGAAATCTATAACTAAATCCTCAAAAACTTTGAAATTGAATTAATATGGTGTTTATTGATGACTCACTTCGAGAGGTAATCGATAGGGCAAACCAAGTCAAAAATGAGAACAGTTACTCAGTGACTGCACTTCATGGAGGTCATGCTATATCGTGAATTGAAGGGATTGGGAAATATGAACTAATGAATTCCAACCAAGTGGCTCAATGGAAACACGCTGACCACGAAACCTGGGGATTCTAGGTTTGATCCTTTGTGGGTCGGGGTCATAACTAGACACTGCTCAGGAGTCCCATACTAGGATGAAACAGCTATCTAATGGCTCTAGGTTTACAATATTTCTCTAACTGATATCAACCCATGATGAATACCAACCCAAAATCAATAAATAAATCTCTACAAACCTTCAAAATGAAAAAAACAGTGTTTTTCAGCTGTATCCTGCATAAATTCAAGTGCTAGGCAATCCGATCATTGAATTCTAACGACAGAAAACTAATGGCTTTTTCAAGCGTCCGAGGGTAACTATTTATTGACATAAAGGTATGATTTGAACACTTTAATCACATATATTTCAGTTTTAGTTATAGGGTTTGTTTGTTGGATTAAGTACAATTTCGAGAGCAGCTCACTGTTCATGGAGATTTTGAAGGTAACTCCATGATTCTGAGATCTGGTTCGCAACGCTTAAAGCCCTCTTTTTCTTTTGATGCGAGAAAAGTGGGTTTTCGCATGCATCTGTAGCAGGTATTGCATCATCCTTATTGCCTATGTTTGGTATTTGTTCGGTAAGTCAAACTGTCTATCAACACCTTCCTTGAGTTTGCTAAGCTGGTTTTTAAAACTGTCACCTTATTCACTTCTGACATGTGATTTCACGTAATTGAAAGCATTGTTAGCATGCAGCTCTCATCGGTTTTTTGGGTTTTATTAGGATCTGCCATCCAAGATGCTGTTAGCTGTCTACACTTTGATAATCTGACTGACCGTGGTCAATTACTCTGACTTATAAACTGTTTGATGCAATTTGATAAACCAAAGTATTGTCAGAAAGCCTCTGTAGAATGCTGCTAATTTCTAAGTTAGCTGGTAGGTTTTAATCATACTGTAACCCCAACCTATTTCGTTTGATGTAAGCCTAGTAAAATATTAGAATAATATGTGAAAACTTTTGACCAGAAAAGTTTAACCAAAAGTCTTGGGAAAACGTCATTTGGAACACATTTGCGAACAATTACTCAGTACTAAGCAAACTAAAATTTAACTTTGAAGGTGATTCGGCATTTTGACGCATAATAATAAATGCTGGAAGAATTGTTAAAAATACCGTCTAGGATATTTGGTAAACATGATGATCGTCTGTAACCTTATGACAACCAGTTAAACGATTTTGTTTTTATTGTATGAATGTGACCCAGTCAATTCGTTATTATTCCTCTGTTAATTTTTTGAAATCTACTTAACAGAAGTTAAACCTTCTAAGTTCCCGGATAGTTATTCTCTTGTGGATGATATCAGAATTCATGACGTGTGTTTCGTCCTATTCAGGATTCGTTAGTCTCAGTAGGAGCACCAACACTGACTTAGATGTATGTACATCCAGTTGACAAGTGCTTAATTGAATGATATGTACTTCCTAAACCTCGCAGTCAGATAATTACACTTGTATAATTAGAATCTTACTACAGGTGATATTAGAGGGTCAATGCAAGCGGTCTAGACACTTACAAGGCTGATCAGTTGTGCACTTTTAATCAACGTTTCATTCATATTCTAATTTCTTTCTCAGCATATTTAGAATTCATCACTAAATGGCACTTAATAACCTTCTCCCTGACTTTCAAATAAATGTCTTTAACTATCAATACCGTTTGTGGTTATCGCGTCATAACTAAAATAATGAAACTAATTTATCATTGAACTACTCCATTTCATTTCCATTTGATTCAAAAGGATAGATTGGCTCATGTGCATGACAATGATAAATTCATCCATCCCAATAAGAATGAGCTAACAATAAACTATTCACAAAAGACAGTACAGTTATATGGATTATTATTCTTTTAGCTTACTGTGATTCGTTGATGCGCCGTACTGAGCTAGTACCTTCCATTTCAATGCATACGGAAGAAACGTTAAAATCGTGAATTTGGGCTGACCATCACGTTTATCGAAAAATGTAAAAATTTCATTGCCAAAACCTTTATGTGATAAAAGTGATATACAGAAAGCCATTTAGGGAGGTTCCACATCGTTAGATGTAATTATTGTTTGAATCAAAGAAGTTATTAAGATACATAGCTTTTTCCCTATTTACCACCCAGCTGATTATTCTTCAAGATAATTTCCTGCTTCGTTTTTCAAATTGTAACGTGTCTAAAAGGAAATCATACACACTGAAAATAACTAAGGGGTTGCCAACTTCCATTCCAGCGGTTGGACTTAAACAAAGTGCATTACTACTTCAATTTAAGTGGCTTTGAAGTTCCTCCAAGCAACGGCATCAATAACTTTGAGATTTTTTCAAGACGAAATCCCTATAAAGCGGTATATTAAGTATAACAAATTTGACAATGTGAGCAACAACGTAAGCTGAGTATTTTTTAGTCCTAAACGTTCCACTTTTTTGCGCCGAAATATATCCCCGTCTGTTTTACTTCTAACTTAGCAGAGAATGTACTGATTTGACATGACATTACATAGGTGTGGTTGTATTTCGTCTACCTTATTTGTTTGAAATGATTAGGCACCTACATAAATGTAAACCACAATAGTCAATTATTAATTTAATTATTACCATTCGACTCATAAATGTAGTTAGGTTTGCGTTACAAATATTTGTTGGCAGGCAGCAATGAAGCTGACTGTTCTGTAGATTACCTGGAGATGAGATAGTCTAAGGTGAATGTAATTCACTTAGCACAGCGCTTAGGTCGTTGACACTTGGTAGTCATATTTCGTCAATCGGTCTCCGTAATAATGAGTATATTGTTTGGCAGCAGTTCTCATAAACAGCGTAAACGTCAACAACTTTTTACGATTATTTATTTCTGATGAAAGTCTAATGTCTTACATCACACTAAAAAATGAAGCTCAACTCTGATAAAATGCCAATTTATTTATGAAATTTCGTTAGGAATTTACAAGTTCAATTCGTTCACAAGTCATTTGTTCAATGTTAAAATTATTAAATTCACCAAGACTTTTGACTCAGGTTCTGTTACTCTATTTTTATTAACGATAAGCTGGTTTATATATTTCCGTACAGTGTATTTATAGGTAAAGATTTTGGTATCACTGCAGAGATTATCTTCACAGAAGTACTGAAGATAAAACTCAGTTCAGTGCTGGTATTTTTGGAAAGAATTCAAATTTTAATGACAATAAAACTGTCAAAACAGCGAGTAAATGGGCTGTTAATATCTGCCGTAATTGTTGGCACTGTAATTAGTTGTGAGAAATATACAAAATTCAAAACAAATCACTAGACTGTTACTTAAATTTTAAAGATATGTGGAAAATAAGATTTATGAAACAGATTTGCCAATAAGGAATTTCCACAAACTACTTGCCTTCGAACTGACATTGATGCAATTGAGCCAGCAGTAATTTCCTCATTTGTTCACCTGAGGTGTTGTGCCATTTCACCATTGGGTACTGAATAAATAGTTGTCTCAATGCATTTGCTACCGCGTACACAGAGTTGACCACCTGAGGTACGTAATAAATTGAATCTTAACAGAAAAAAAGTGTAATAAGCACATTATAACTCAGATTAACGTAGGGATATCAAAAATTGGTTAATTATGGATGGAATCCTTTCAGCTGACAAAATAACTAGAAGGCACATACTTTTATCTTCAGAAAAGATTAAATTTTCTCTTAAACAGAAACTAAAATCTATCTTAGGATAAATCGAATTCAAAAAACTTAATAATGAACAAATACGTAGATTCTCAATACTCAACAACTAAAACTCGTCAATCAACTTGTCCTTCGGAATCACTCATAAAACTGTCTCATTCAGCCGAAGGCTTATTGGTTTACTGAAAGTCTTCTCTGTAAACTTCGAAGTATGTGTCTGAAGTTTTCGTATTCACCATAATCCCATCTCACCTTGACACTGATTACTTCGGGTTATATATCTTTGCAACAATTAGTTAAATACCTATCAACCTCATTAGGTTGAAGTATTGAAAAAGTAGGATGGAAAGAACTTAGTCAAGTCTTAACCTCACAAGTGAAATCAAATGAACACCATATCATATGTACCACAAATTGGTTTTGGTTGCGGAATAGTTAGAAAAGTTGCAAGTTCTAGTTTTACTGTTGTTTATTTCACAAGAAACCCTAAGAAACCTGTTCCTCCTATAGATCTTAATTACTAACTTGGTGTCAGGGAGAATAATCCATGCTAAAAGATCAGGTATAACTGCGATTCGCGGCAGCCATGGAATTTGTTGGGCCTTTCACAGTATTAGCCATTCAATAGGTGTTCATACGTGTCTGACTAAGTTTATAAAAACTCGTTAGATAATTATTTAAAAATTAGCAGAAAGGCGTAAGTAAGCCATAACAAACAACAGTGTCTTAAAAGTGTTATTTAGGGAGTGTGAAAGATACGTCACATGTATGTCTACACACAAAACTAAGTGAGATTGTTAAACAATGACACACTATAGTTGGTCTCGACTCATAAAGGAACTAAAATACAAGCAGTAAAGTTATACAACTTATTCCTTCCCTGACAGGAAAAATAACTGTGAGCTTAGTCAACAGTCGTGTGACACCCTCTATAGATCACTTCAGTTGATCGATGCATGACTCTTCAGTATTATCAATTGACTAAAGATTTCAACTTGACCAGGCATACACTGATTTACAATCTTGATAGTTCAAGGAAGCCTAACGTGTACAATTACCATTCGTTTCGTTTACCAAAACATATAAATCCATTCATTGCAAATAATCTTAAAAGGATTTCAAAAAAATATGCATTACCATTTCACTTTGAACTGATCTTAACCACTTAACACTTGATTTTATTAACAAATAATAGTTTCACATGATTTACGCAATGCAAATTATAAACAGTAACTTGGATCAAACCATTAAAACAATGTAGTAAATGAAATTTCCCCAGGAAGATTAATATTCTGGAAGTTTTTAAAAAATCATAGTAACATAGATACCAGGAATATATAACGAAAAACACGGTTGAAAGTAAGATAGTCGGCAGATTGCAATAATTCAGAAGTAGGTAAACTCGTCAATGTATGACAAAATGTGGAAATAACTGACAAAACGATATCATCTACAAAGGTGAATAACTGTGATAGAAAACATGATACCCGTACACTTATCTAACGGACATAAGAGTGAGGAAAGTATTCACCCAGAATTTGAAGAGGAATATAAAATAACTAACTTATTTTAAATGAGAAAAAGGTCTGAGGATACATTTATCAGTCGGAGAAGTTTGTAGACAGAAACAAACGAACAAGGTGTCATGGAGACTAGATTCAACTCTAATTCAGAAATGGAGAGGAAATGCAAGTATACTCCTTTAGTTTCTATATGGAATTATTCAAGATGCAGCGTTTATCACAATGAAATCAAGTACAGGTGGTCTATTCACCCGCTTTCTTACATGGGGAATAAATAGTGGAAACAAGAAAAACTTCAGTTTGAAAGATAACAAATGAAGTAGTATTGTGATGTATTACTGTTTTAAATGATCTGTAGGTAAAGAAAATACTTTTGAAAGTATGCAAATTCTCATAACTACTAACAGCTGACGTACATTAAAAATGCCTTCATTTTTATCGATAGTTGGAGGTGTAAGTGACAAGCCATGGACCCAGTTTTCCTACTGGAACACATCATCTTTAAAAAGTTATTCGCAGAACTGGAGAAATTATGTTTTACTCTGAGATCTCAACTTATGCGGTTCAAAACAGCAATCAAAAATTTCATCATTTAATGAAGTTATGGCTCGTTGGTTTAGGTAGTCAATTTTCAACCGACGGATCGCTGTTATGAACACCACTCCACCTACCTAGGGTTGGACAGCCAGTTAATATCATTAGCCATCACAAAATAGGCGTGGCTAATCATCCGCTCTATGGATGTGCATATAGTTGCTGAGTGAGTTTCGGTCGCTTGGTTATGCTTCACTCATGTGGGTCATGATTGTACTAGTCTGAAAGTTTCCGTAACTCACTTCTACTACCCAACTTTAAGCGTAGTTTACCATACTTTCGAGATTTTCAATCTGATAACTCTATTCAGTTATTTGATTAGTTCACTTCTCGTTTCACTTGCGACTTTAACAACTCTATGGCTAATGTATGGTGATGAATGCTTATGCAGTAGAATATATACGTATATATATGAGTAAAGAATCAGTGGTGTAATCATGTTACTTAACATCCACTTCATGTGCTGGATTTCATTATCATCAAAGAATTATTCATTTTCACACTTTCCAAACAAGCATACCTTTGTAAAGATATGATAGGCATTCTTCTTCTTCATTCTTTGTACAAATTTCACCACTAGAGTTGTATAAATCAACCTCGTTTGGTAGACAACCACAGAACTGCAATAGATAAGAGTTTGACCAGCTGGTTAAATTAAATGTTCTTCGTAGGCTGTATTGTTCAGAAAAGAATGTAAAAGTCAACCACTCTACTTGGAAATATCTTCATGAAAAAATTCAGGAACAAAGTTTTATAGAAAAGTGTTGTAATTTTAAAACTACCACTGCAAGTCTGAAGGAGTTTGAAGTGTACTAGCTGACTTTACGCCTACTAAAGTGTTGGTAAACAAACGTTTTACGCCAGTAATGACAATCAGACAGATATCCATTAGTTTTAAAATATACACGTTACAAAAATATGTTGTATTTTCTGATACCTGTTAAGCTGTGAAGAAGTAAATCAGATATTCGTTTTCACCATCATGTTAAGAAAATAGTGGTAAATGGAAGTGATAACTTTCTGCTAAAATATTACTGGTACTGGGAGATGATTTCCGGATTGAGATAAAAATCTGGGTCACAGAAATATTCAATCCAAAGGCCTCCCTCAAACTTGTAAAGTATTACCACTGAAATCTTTCAAACTGAAGTGCAGATGACGCTTGTTCTTGTCGACAGTCTGAACGAGGTTAGATTATACTGAAAGTGTGTTGAAAAGTGATATTATTTTCTAAATGTGTATGAAGATCATCTATTGTCGGAACATCGAGCAACAGTGACTGGTGGGAAACTACAGTGGCTTACACGGTTGCAAGAGATGAATTAATTTGTGCGACGATTGAAATTGAGAAATTTAGTTAGTAGTATCAAGTTCAGTGTCTACACGTCTACTGTGACCTTGACCCTTTTGTTTCTGGCCACATGATAGGATTTAGGTGTGATGGTTCAATATATCAGGAGGAATACGAAGTAAGTTTCTATCTTTTTATGATTTACCATAAATCTTTGACTCATCTAACAAGAATGAAGTGAAAAAATATGTGCATATTCGAAATCATTATAAGAATATATTTTAATGTAATCCCAGTGTGTTTGGAAAATCAAAACAAGATATTTCCGAAAGTTTCGCTATGTAAGCTACAGCTTCTTCATCAGAATATACGGATTTTTATTGACACCAAAATACACAGTCAAATGACACATCAAATATTTAGTGAACGTAGGTCATTGCCTAGATGATTCTTCTGCCCAACCTGGATAATTAAAATTAGTCAGTACAAGTTCCTACTTGTTATTGTCATTTGTCAGCAAATATGTTTTATTTTATCCAGAATCATCTTATATCTGTGTTCGATTTCAATCCGATGTATTCTCTGACAGTTTAACTGTCCAGTGGGGTTTCTCATTGAGGACTCGATGCATATCATAACTTGTAGTTACGATCATCTTTGCAACAAAAATGGTTTGATTAACGGTAAACAGGAAGTTTCATATGTATACAACTGAAATGTCTGATTACTACTTTATATTGCCGAAGGTAATAATCTAGACACCTTTCTATTTGTCTTCTGTCGTAAAAAGAAGATGACTTTCAAGCTGTTACACTGCCAGACTTCACCATTCTTCATTGATATTTTCATAGCAGCTCCATTTAACTGAAATAAGAGATTCGGTCTTTTTTCTTGTATTTCTTAACTGGAGTTTACCAGCTTCATATTAAGAATTGTAAGAAGTTGAATAATTAATTCGTTAAGCAGGCATAAATCGCCAGTAAATGTGGCACTTTATAAAAGCCAACAGTAGAATAAAGCCTGAAGTGAATTTGGACTCTAACAGTCAATAAGTTATGACTGTTAAACTTTAGCCTGACAGAATTCTAGCAACAAAAATTATTCCAAGCTCAGAGGATAAGTACATGTGGTGCACTAAATTTAAAGTTCCGACCAAGCTTTGGTTACATTTAAGTTACTAAAACAATTCTGTAATAATTAATAGTTTGTGAAGATTGACTGATTTCAAATTACTTTTCATAGCAGAATGATGTTAGTTGGCAAGGTAACAAACCAAGTCAGAAGCGCGAACAAAAGCTCAGCGACGGCACTGGATGACAGTCAAGCTATGCTAATAAGTTACAGAAGTAGGAAAATATAGACCTTTGCCATCTGATCCATTATCTTAATAGTGAAATGCTTATAAGAAGAGTGAACCGCATTAGGTATAATTCCATACATGGCCACAGGTATGCACTACTGAGAAAGTCCCAAACTACTAAAAAAAAGCTGTTCTCAATTGTTTACTGACTATTATCAAAATGTAAATTAATCTACTTGGAAATTTTTTAGCAACTCAATAATTAAACTCACTTAATAGAATAGTTTTTCATTTTCTCTTCTTCAATTACATATGGTAGAACCAGGATAAATTTTTGAAATCCATTGAATTCTTTCACATACTTTGAATTCAAATCTTCAGTTACATATAATTCTCTGTAACTTGGAATAAGACCATTTGTTCCAATCCATAGAAAGCGATTGCGATCAATCTGATTCCATTTGAGTAGTTCATTGATTGCCAAATTTGCAGTTTTTGGTGTTACTAATAGAATGTTAACTGAATTTTGAATTTTTAAAAAGTTGTGTTATACGATTTTGATACTACTAATATGTCGAGGGAATAACAATAAATTAAATTGAGTTTTCAGGACAGATTCATTTTACTAGACGTAGGTTCTTGAGATTTTATATATGTAACATTGTAATAGAGCAATTAATTGATTTTGATTAAGATACTGACATAATCTTTATAATGACACCATGATAAAATTTCACACTCAGTAAATAGCAATTTACACTTCTTATGTATGACAAAGGTTAAACGATATATTGAGGTGGCCAGTTTTATCTTCGTCTTATAAAATAAAATATGAGTATCTGAATATAGAATGTTGATTTATATTTTATGACCATCTAACTGAAACGATGAGGTAATGAAGCCAGTGATTTTATGACTAATGAACTATCAATGAATATTAAATGTGAGCATCAAATTTAAATGGCAGTATATGACTAGTCATCCTTAATAAATGCCTATAAAACACTTCACATATAAGCTTGAATAAAGCCAGAACATCAAATGAACTGGAATAATATGACTTCATATATTTAGATACTTCTAAAATGCATTATCAGTTTACACAGCAGACTTTGTTTTGAATAGTAAAGACAGTTTTAAATGTAGTATATATGCCGAATTACTGTCGTCCTATTTATCGGAGGTCATCTTAAGTAGTAAAGTTACTATCACTACATTATTTCCACATATTCATAAATAGTTGATCAAAATCTTATTTAATTTTACTGCATGACAGTATGATTGATTTCAAGATAATAGCGGAATGTTCGTCTCAGTGTATATCTCAGTTCATTCTACTGCCAAAAGTTCATCTATTCTGCTTGATTCAGCCACTCTCCTAATTCATACTGACCTGCTTACCTGTCAGTTATTTTGGTTAGCAGATGATTACAGTAAAGAGGATAATAAATTTAATTTCTTGAAAAGCTTTTACTTGTAAGTAAAATCATATGCCGTATTACCTGACCTTCAAATAGGGATGATAATATTGTCTTATATGCTTCACTCTGTTAATGTTGCTTTCAATGAATTTAAATAAAACTTAGGCACTGAGATGAAATCTTATTCTATTTTAGTTGTTATGCTAGATGTTGAACACAGTGGAATAGTATTATTTATTGGATCACGTTTCGGACAAATTTCGTTGTCCATGGTCATATCAGGATAACTCCAAAACATTCTTGATTTCTTCTTGATATGCGTAGTTCGATTTTCCTGATATCCAGAACAGGTACTGAGTCATTCATGCTGTACGTGCTTGCTGTTGATCTTATAAACAAGGAATCAGTCATTGATGCTTCCCTCCACTCATGCATGTTAGTTTGAAAGGCTTTTACTCTATCCCATCCGACCGTTTGGTTGCGCTTAATTGCATTTATAAATATGACCGAGCTTTTTTCTAAATTCCTTATCTTACTGGGATCGACCACGTTTGGTTTAGCTAGGCTTTTGTACTCTGGTCTCACATAAGAAATCAGACACATTAAAGCCACATTACTAATCAATAATTATCCTCCTAAATTACTTAATGATCTCCTAGAAATCGTAAGAAAAATATAATAAAAAAATAACTTTGTTCAACGTGTATATTTTAAAACTAACGGATATCTGTCTGATTGTCATTACTGGCGTAAAACGTTTGTTTACCAACACTTTAGTAGGCGTAAAGTCAGCTAGTACACTTCAAACTCCTTCAGACTTGCAGTGGTAGTTTAAAATTACAACACTTTTCTATAAAACTTTGTTCCTGAATTTTTTCATGAAGATATTTCCAAGTAGAGTGGTTGACTTTTACATTCTTTTCTGAACAATACAGCCTACGAAGAACATTTAATTTAACCAGCTGGTCAAACTCTTATCTATTGCAGTTCTGTGGTTGTCTACCAAACGAGGTTGATTTATACAACTCTAGTGGTGAAATTTGTACAAAGAATGAAGAAGAAGAATGCCTATCATATCTTTACAAAGGTATGCTTGTTTGGAAAGTGTGAAAATGAATAATTCTTTGATGATAATGAAATCCAGCACATGAAGTGGATGTTAAGTAACATGATTACACCACTGATTCTTTACTCATATATATACATATATATTCTACTGCATAAGCATTCATCACCATACATTAGCCGTAGAGTTGTTAAAGTCGCAAGTGAAACGAGAAGTGAACTAATCAAACAACTGAATAGAGTTATCAGATTGAAAATCTCGAAAGTATGGTAAACTACGCTTAAAGTTGGGTAGTAGAAATGAGTTACGGAAACTTTTAGACTAGTACAATCATGACCCACATGACTGAAGCATAACCAAGCGACCGAAACTCACTCAGCAACTATATGCACATCCATAGAGCGGATGATTAGCCACGCCTATTTTGTGATGGCTAATGATATTAACTGGCTGTCCAACCCTAGGTAGGTGGAGTGGTGTTCATAACAGCGATCCGTCGGTTGAAAATTGACTACCTAAACCAACGAACCATAACTTCATTAAATGATGACATTTTTGATTGCTATTTTGAACCGCATAAGTTGAGATCTCAGAGTAAAACGTAATTTCTCCAGTTCTGCGAATAACTTTTTGAAGATGATGTGTTCCAGTAGGAAAACTAGGTCCATGGCTTGTCACTTACACCTCCAACTATCGATAAAAATGAAGGCATTTTTAATGTACGTCAGCTGTTAGTAGTTATGAGAATTTGCATACTTTCAAAAGTATTTTCTTTACCTACAGATCATTTAAAACAGTAATACATCACAATACTACTTCATTTGTTATCTTTCAGACTGAAGTTTTTCTTGTTTCCACTATTTATTCCCCATGTAAGAAAGCGGGTGAATAGACCACCTGTACTTGATTTCATTGTGATAAACGCTGCATCTTGAATAATTCCATATAGAAACTAAAGGAGTATACTTGCATTTCCTCTCCATTTCTGAATTAGAGTTGAATCTAGTCTCCATGACACCTTGTTCGTTTGTTTCTGTCTACAAACTTCTCCGACTGATAAATGTATCCTCAGACCTTTTTCTCATTTAAAATAAGTTAGTTATTTTATATTCCTCTTCAAATTCTGGGTGAATACTTTCCTCACTCTTATGTCCGTTAGATAAGTGTACGGGTATCATGTTTTCTATCACAGTTATTCACCTTTGTAGATGATATCGTTTTGTCAGTTATTTCCACATTTTGTCATACATTGACGAGTTTACCTACTTCTGAATTATTGCAATCTGCCGACTATCTTACTTTCAACCGTGTTTTTCGTTATATATTCCTGGTATCTATGTTACTAAGATATTTTAAAAGTTTCCATGAACACAAGGGTCAGTAAGATTTATAATAATCAATACTAATGAATGACTCAGTACCTGTTCTGGATATCAGGAAAATCGTTTTACGCTTATCAAGAAGAAATCGAGAAAGTTTTGGAATTATCCTGATATGACCACGGACAACTAAATTTGTCTGAAACGTGATCCAATAAATAATACTATTCCACTGGGCTGAGCATCTAACATACCAGCTAAAATAGGATTGCTTTTAATGAAACGGGTATACATTAACGCTTTCACAGATACGAAGTGTAATTTAGCATTGTTAATGACTGAAATCTAATTTTGAATTTATATCCGTGAGGTTTTTTTAGTGATTTCACTTACCTACTGTCTCTAGTTCTCTAACTTCACTAACTCCATTAGATACTAATAATCTGATCGTCCAGCTTATCTGTGAGTCAACATAAGAATTTTAATCAAAACCACATTCCTTAGCGGAAGTTTTATTTCCACCTACCTGAAGCTGGAGAATCTTGTATAGTTTTCAATCTTCTGGCTATATCCTTAGCATCTAGAGGATAAGCTATCAGTCTGACATCTTTTGCTACACATATAGTTTCGCTATATTGGCTTAACTTCTCCATGAAAACACCATAATTTGATTCTCCCTGCTCCGAGCTGTCCAGTACAACATTTATATAAAACCAGTTGTATTTCCTATAGAAATGAAAGAATTTTTTCTAGATCGTCATAACAAAGTTGAATATGTTGATTGCATCTATAATACGATAAATTCAACGTCATAAAACATTACATAAAGCTTTTTCCCAAGTTTTACTTCATCATAACTAAACTATTAATAAAGTCACACGCAGAGTTTGGATAGTATTTGATCACTAGTTCTTATCAGTCCTATGACTTAAGAGGAGTGTACATTAGAAACTACCAACATAAACAAAGTCGAAACGACCACGCTTTTCCCGAATAAAAAAGTAGTTAAATGCAAACAATTAACGAGATTCAATTGACTTATTTTCCAAACATATAACGCAATAACATGAAAAGTCAGCTATTCTGATTGGGCATAATTATTTCATAGTTAGGATGTATTCTTTGGAGTTTAGTGATGCACTCTCAAGTTAACAGATAGTTCATGTTCTTCAAGCACTTCAGCAATACACCTGAATATCTACCCACAACTCCTTAGCTTTGAATGGGGATCCGGTTCAGTATGTTAATCTTCTTCATATTCCTTCAAAAAATTCAAATGAGAACCTAATATCTACTAAGTTGTGTAGGCATGAGGTAATTGTAGCATCTCGCATCAGCATAAAAATTGGTCCGCACAGTTAATGAGTTAATAAAATGATAAAGTGATAAAAAAACTAAGGCATGATGCAAGCCTTCAATTTTTTTGAGGGAATACCTTAGTGAAGGACATGAGTCTAAGGCTAAAATTTAACCAATGTAGGGACAATTTTGTGGAAGTTTCGAAGCATTGAAGTAAGTGTATATCATGAACACTATGAGAGAATAGAATGGAGTTTTGAATGATGTAACAGCTGTTCATCTCAAATGAAAGAGGACGTATGACCGAAATTGACAGTAATGACACAGAAATAAAGAGTTTAGGCTTACACAATGAAAAGTTAAACACAGAATCTATGTATGTTCTTTCTCGATTCAGTACAGTAAACGGAGGAAAGGAATAGATTCGTCTTATATATAGTAAACTTTGATTTGATCGAATCAGTACCATGGCGTGTTCAGAAAAAATTTTCAACTAATGACCTTGTATTATTGTCTATAAACAAATCGATCCGTAAATAAATTTTTTTTCCAACAGCTTCATACACCAGAACAAGACATTAAACTAATTATACTCAAACAAACATACTGTTTGACAGCTGAAACGCTTGGTAAGGATAAATTACAACAAAATTTTAAAGATCTTGTAACTGGTTATATGTGAACCGTGTAACCATAGTCCCGCTTAACTAATTACCACCTATCAATAAGTTCATCTTATGTGATAACATTTTGACTTTGAATAAAATCCAAGTAATTCTATACAAAGAAAACTTCCGAAGAACCCTGCTGAACACTCTGAGACCCCGCTATTATATTTAAACAGTTTTGATGCTTAATGGATTGAAAGATAATTTTAACACCTATAGGTTGAGCATCTATTAGTTTATGAACCTACACTAAGGCACATTTTGTAACTGATATTTTGCAAACCGACTACGACACTCATGTAAAATTTCATCAGCGCTAACTGTTATTACTTAGACTTCATGAAGAAATTATTCAGACTTCTCCTGTTTTCGTGAGGAATGAAGGGATTACAACGAAGAAAACAGATACGAAGGAATAATAAGTATGCATATTTTTTTATATATATCATCTTTGCTTACACCATTACATATACATAAATTATATGCAAACACCTCTAAAATACCATTATTCTAACCTTCAGAAATACAGATACATCAAACTTTCTCGTTCGGTAATTTAAATGTCTGTTACTATGGTCAAAACATACTCCTCGCATATTAAGAATTGAAAACGATAAAATAAACTATACAACAGTAAGCCTCAATTTTCATCTTCGTCAGTTCACTCTTTTATTAAATGAGGAGAAAGCTGAATAACTGTACATAATCTTCTTTCAAAATATTAGTTTCAACTTGATAAATAGCTTCATTTTTCCTATGGGAATTATGGAGGAATTCCAATTACACGTTCAACTATAATGTCACGCTTCTTCACTTCATATGTTAAACAATAGAACAATAATGATAGCTGTTGTTTTCTTCAGAGTATAATCAATCTAGTGTTATTTTGCACGTCAAGCAAACTATGCCATCATAACTATGCAACACTTTTGAAGCAGACAAAATTCCTATTTACACAGAATCTGATGATTGATTGTTGGCGTATATCATCTATACGCATGTAATGTTGTTAAATATCACCACAGTAGGATACCGTATCTTAGAATATATTCATTAGAAGGATTTTTTACTAATCTGTATAAATATTCAGAAATCTGAATAAATGAAACATTTGGGTATTTAAGATCAGAGTTCATTATTAATCTTCGTAATTCTGAATTTGAGTGCATTTAACGTGAATTAACACTACACAAAGACAAAAAATATTCATTATAACGTGACTTAGAAAATAAGATGATCAATTTGATATGAGATAACGCTGAGCACTTCACTATTTGCATCTTTATAAGTGAAATATATACCGACTGAGATGAAAGATAATATTTGTTGTTTAAAATGAGAATTACAGCATTAAGGCATTATTTGAGCTTTGATACTTGATCTCAGATGTTTCATCACTGGACTTAATGGAGTTATTACTGACAACACCATGAAACCTGATGATGATACTCTTACATTCAAATTTCAAAACTGAGGGAACGCTCAACCATTACAACGAATAAAAATAATGGACAGAATACACGACTCAAACAACAGGCATCTGAAGAGAAAACCAATCTCTTTCACTTATCAAGCCTAATCATTAAGAAAATAACTACATGAAGCTGCCGAAGCAGATACATTGAAAGAATGGCGTACACTAGATTTTCTGAACACAGTCTGAAGTGCCTATGACTGGCGGGAAGTGACACTTTGAACAGTACAACCATTTGATTTCTCACTGACATTAAACCTCGACCAAATGTCCTCAATTCCTTTAAGATAATGAACAAATAAACGAACTGAGTTCTCCCGGAGTTTGCTGAAGTCGCAGCTATTAAACGCCTCAAACTTGATTTATGTGTTCAAAAAAAGTTATGGTCAACCTGTATCTATCTTGATAGCCCGCGTTGACTGCTATTTGATTACATCACCATCATAGGTGTTTATTCCTACACCTTTATTTAGTTGCATCCTGTTTTGTTCTTATCGCGTGCTTTTAACTAATTGAACCTAACAATATTTTGCACATTTATCGTATGACTTACTTAAGTAACCCTACAGTGTTAAGTCCTTTAATATTTTAAATGCTCCTCTTGTCATTATTATCGTCATTATTGCGTATATACTTGTGACAACTTGTTACAATTTATTAACCTTCCTTGAATTTGGTGTTATGATTAACCTTTACCCTATGAGTATTTCTGTCTATCTTAACCACTGACCAATATTCTGTTTTCTTTCAGGGAATCAAAGGGTATTGAACTTTCAGTAAAACTATATATTCTGATATTCTAGGTTTTAAGTAGTTGACAAAATATCACCCCAGTAAAATGGATCCATTTTATCCTGCTCGCATTGTTGTTCTTACCCTTTTCAAATAATCAGAATACTTCGATGTTCTAACAGAATTCCATTTTCCATTACATTCCTTTACAATAAACCACTAATATATACCTAGGAAGTTTGAAGGGAAACTAATTGCTCATAACCATTATTCCTTGATATGATAATAAGCAATAAATCTCGCTTGAAACTTCATAAGCCCGTGATACTGTTTCTTTGTGTGATACTTTCATAAAAAAGAGGTTTAATGGAATTATACCCCACCACAGTGCTATAATCCCATTCTCACACTGAAGAAGTCCACCTTATCAGTCATACATGAAACACTCATTCTTGTTGTCTTATCACAGCCGTATGTATGTTTGGCAAGCCATCCAATAGATTACATATTTGTTGTATTCAGTATGGATTTTATATAATATCATCGGAATCAAATTAATTACACTTACCTTAATAATTCAATAATCACGTCAATTGTCTTAGTAATACTAGGAACCGTCCTCAAAAAGTAATTATACTTTTCGGCGTCATCTAACTGCGATGAAGATGACATGTAACTAATCTAAATAAAAGAACGAAAATAACATTATCGAAGACTTTTCATTCACTTATCAACATGTCTGGGGAATTAATGGGAATTTTTAAACCTAAAATTCTCACTTAATAGTACTAATTTCTTACCCATATCAACAAGCCCATTAGATTTAACTGCAGAATGCGAAAATGAATTACCTATGAATGACTATAACCACACTAGAATGATTTCGCTCGTGTTTATGAATGTTAACGATTGTATGATAGAAGTAATAATGTACTTGCTGAAGTGTGGTAATATTTAAATCAAAGGCTATATTCCACCGGTACCAAGGACATAACAGTGATCATAGCTGATGTCTACTGGTCAACTCAGATTTTTTCCAAGACAGAATCATAAAATCAAAACAACTAGTATCAGATTTTGATAGAATACGGTTATAGTGTGCAGGAAGATTGACGAAGTCTTCATAAGAAGCCGCATATGCCTTAAGTCTTTTTCAATTAGTCGTTTTGCTTCGAAATTTCGGGAAGAAACACCTAAACCAACGTTTATGTATCAGATTGGTTGGAAAGATGAAATCTAGTTGACCTAGAAATACTGCAGGCTATTGTAATATATGTATATATATCTTGTAATTTGTATATATTGTGGACGCTGCCGTTGGCTTTGTAAATATACCTTCTGTTTATATTGCCGCCTTCTATATTAACGGAAAAATTGAGTTACCATTAAGGGTGGAAGCTGAAGGTATTCGTACAGGCGTCCACATTTACATATTTCAGGCTCTACCAAGTCACTGGTAAAGATATATAAAAAGTGGCGACTCAAAGTATGTGAAAAATACAAAGATAATTATCTAGTTGGAATACAAGCCTACATACGGAAGATGCCAAATAGCTTTTAGATACTATCCAGTCGAAATAGGTTTTTGATAAAATTACTTCCAGTTGCGCACATTCTATTTGAAACAATTTGTGCATACATGTTCTTACGAATTCAAGGTAAAATAATATTTTAACGAAATATTGTCTTGTATAACAATCATCTTATGCTCTAGGATCATAAGTCCATGAACAGTATGATACAATAAGCAGTTTAAGGTATACACGAAATGTGTATATAGTAGAACCTATAGAAATTAGCGTAGTAAACTTGATCCCCGTATTCAACAGAAAGATGCATAATAAGTTTGTTTACTCCTATCTGCCACAAAGTCCACCTAGTTTGAATGAACATTAATGGTGAGAATTTCTATGTTGACCCCTTGACTCTCTCTTCACTCAATTTTTTTCTCTCTTTCTCTATGTGTATGCAAGTGAAACATGCTATAATCTTTATGAACTTCATCACTTGTACCAGAATTATTGGTCATTTCTAAGTCCCATGCCATAACTCACTAACTAATGCTCATTGCTGCAATATGACATTTATTTCTAGGCACCATAATAAGTATTTAATTCTTAAAATTTAGGTTGAAAGGTTAGTTGTTTCATATAATAAGGAAATTCAAATTGTAAGTCTTGTAGACTTTTGTGCGGCTATTAGCACCACTTCCCCAGCAGAAGAATAAGAAGTTGAATGATACTAGAAGCATTCCTGAGTAAAAACCATTACTGCTGACATACATATATATGGGTGATAAAGCTTACCTGTGGTATATAAAGGAATTTAAGAACATTAGCCACACTAATGGTTACATCACTTTGTGAACCACCAATAACAGCTAATATATAAGTTTCCATTGGTTTACCGCCAGTTGCATATCTTCTGTAATTGATCACTTTAGAAGCGTCGTCCAATAGATTATTAAACTGTAAAATAATCAAATAGCTTTTCCAAGTATTAGTTGGAAATTAGGATACAAATAAAGTTGTCCAGAAGGTAAATGAGTAACGAAAAAGTAATTTTTACTAAATTTTTCATAAACCTTGTAGATGTAGTATCAATAAAAGAGATCCTCAGAACTGTAATTATCGATAGATATTAGACTGTGTAAAATTCAGTTCACTATATCCAGATACTTCAACCAACCCTGCGACATTTTCATGATGAGATATGGGTAAACAATAAAAATAAACCTTGTGTATCACTTGCCGCTGTGCAGCTCCTATATGATATTTATGCTGAAAGTGAAACTTTTAAGAATAGTTCATCAAACCCAGAGAACGAAATACCAAAACAGCCATTACCTGAACTTGATGAGGTCCCAACTAATCAAGCTAAATTCTTCTTCTTAATTATCTTACTAGATGCAGATTTGCAATATGCTGTCACATACTTTCAACCATTAGCTATTTTGACGAGATTTGTTCAGCTGATACCGAATGAACTGCTCAATAAAGATCTTTTTTCAGGAGCTAGATATTTTTCTGATAAAACACCTTAAAATGCTTCTGAGTAACAACGCTTTACATCTCAGCAGTTAGTTTTCTTTATTATTACCGGATCCCATTGGCTGTTCATATTTTGCATTTGCTTTCTTTTTATGCTTGAAACTAACATTCTTACAACACAGGAATAAACGGGGTGGTGTGCAAAAACAATAGTCGTTCTGAAGGTGAAGCCCCTTATCTGTCTGCTGAAAAGTAATCAAGAAATCAATCAGAACGGCCTGCCAGATATGTATAATTTTTACCTGGATTTAACTGATTTTCTCTTCATAAATCTTCACTCCATTTAAAACTAGATAACAGCCAGAAGTTAAAATGTGTGGGCTATTAAAGTCGTTATTTCAGTAAAAAAATCAGCTGGATAAGAGGGAAGAACTTGAGAATATAGTTGTCCCAATGAAGCTATATATTTTAAATCACCTTACAAAAGCAAAGATAGTGTGGACCAACGCCTAATCCTAATAAATAAATCCTTGCTGATGAATTTTTTTATTCTGTAGTCAGATACACTGCAGTAACATAAGTTTTTTTATAAAGGTCTGCAAAATGTGTATCATCGTGCTACATCTTAATAACTCTCTATTCACTAGTCATTCAAAATACATGATTTTGCTGATTATGGGTAATTTGATACAAAAAGAAGTAAAATAATACAAAATGCATGGAATTTGAAGAACACTACTTATTGCCGTTTGTTTCTATCAAACAGAATTGAAATCGCATGCATAATATAGGTGCTTGTTGACTACTTTTAAAGTGCTTCCATTCAATTAATTTATTGCCCACTGAACGGGGGTAACTTTGTAATACTTATTTGAAATGAAAAATCCTTTTTCTGTTTGTCTTTCAATAAATTCAACAGACTTCTCTTAATCTTTCAAACGCAACCTTAAGCTCAAAGTTGAGACACATTTAGATCGATTTTGTTGAAGCTTTAATTGTGACAAGTATTACACAATGTGACATAACAAAAGCGATAGCCTATGTGGTTTAATACAGAGGTCAAATGTCATCATTTGCGTAACCGTTATGTAAAGTATTTATTGCAATTTGCTAAACATTCTTTCATATTACTATTTGTTGATATACCTATAATTCTTAGTTGTTATGCTGGATCGAATTCATAAACCTATGTCAACATATGGAGTCCTACACAGATATCTCCTTACTGCATGAATAGTTATCGTTATAATTTATTTAGTTGTGGCTAGCAGCGGAATCCAGAACGTTTTATTGTGCTTCAGCGGTCTAGTATATAATACTCTGGTGTTCGGAGCAGTGGGTGCGAGGTACTAGTCTCAGTGTGGTCAGCATCACTTACAATCAGCTGACGAGTCCTAAATAAGACGAAACTGGCATCATGGATTCCTCTGGTAGCCACAACCAAGTAAATCATAACAATTTATTTATATTGTTAATCCGTACAATGTAAAATAAATGGTAATAGAAATAAAAGGGACTCACAACGATGAAATGAAGTGATTGTAATAAAGCATTATCTGGATTTTCACAAGTATCAAAGGCTAAAGCTCCAAGTGTATAGTTTAAGTAGTTTTTGCGAGAATTAATCTCATCGATTGCGTACAGCATCGCCTCCAAAAGCTATTAAATAAAAGTTTTTAATATAGAATAAAAATTTCCAAGCAAGAATAAAATAGTTTGTTTTTGTTTGTAAGAGTAACAATAATGTAATCCAGATAACGAACAGTTAAGATTCAATAATCAGTAATTAAGTATAATCAGCTCTTCTTTGATATTCTGAGTAAAACATTTAATAGTTTGTAATATAGTAATTTAATATCAATTATTCCATCTAATCGAAGTACTTTGATATATTTGAAGGCTAAGGAAGTTATCATCCTAATGTTATCGTCAATTCTTGATCTACTTGACTGATAGTTAACTTGATTGAAAGCTTAATTTTATGAAGGCTTATTTAACTGAATAATTCAGTCAGTCTGGTGTATGAATACATCAAAATCATCTTCGATCACATCTTGATCATATTTTGTAGTCAGTGGTACTGATATCCAGTTAAACTCAGGCTAAAATAACAACTAGAACCCGTTTGAACAACAGTTGGCCATCAGAAACCAGAAATCTAGTAGATATTCCTTGTGTTTTAGTGTAGACTTCTAGCCTTAGTACAAGTATAACCATTCATTCAGTTTCAGGTACATTTACCTAACAACTCCGAAATCAAAAAACGCATTCTATATTTCACTAATAATCACTACTTAATATAATCCAGAGAATTTATCTTTTTTGTAAGTAAAGTTTTCCCAGTTTTTGAAAAGAAAAGGTGTACTGAAAACTTGAGTCTTTTTTCTCTCCTCCTTCTAGTAGTTCTCTCTCAAACTACACGTTAAACTGTCTTCAAGAGTCTAAGATTTTTAATTCTTGGACGATGCCAACGATCAAGAAAACTTAATGTTATCAGTTACATTTGAAATTGTGAGAAAAGTTTCAATATTTTACAAGATGTTAGTTATTTTGCATATTCAATAATCTTTTCATATCTTCCATATATGCTAACGTCAGTTTCTCATGAATGCCTAATTTTCTACAAGAAAAGTCTCATCTTTGAATGTTTATAAACACAGAATAAAATTTCAGCTTACCAGACTTTCTAAGATTGATAACATTGGAGGACTGATCACATAATATAAAAGTCATAATGAGTATAAATATGGCTACAACTATGGTAGAAAATGTGAACTGTGATAGGATTAAAAATAGGAATTTTCGGAATGGGAATTTAGCACTTTGAAGGATATTTATAGTGTGCTCATGATATATACCACCCACTAACCATACATCATCGATACAAATTCTCACAAACTCCTAAATGGTTATTTTCAGTCAACATTTGTCTTGATGCATAAGGAAACATCATTCGACATAAATAAATGTATAAGCGTTCTTACTTTATAGCCAATTGCAGTCAATTTCGGTTCCTGTAGTATTCCTTTACTGATAACTGGACGTTGGTGAATTGGAAATAATCCACCCAAGAGAACATCACCTGGATAATACAAATATTCGGAATGATCTTCTCTACAGGCAAGATCGTGTTTAGGCTTGCTACTTATAATTGTACTTAATTGTAGTAGAATTACTAAGCTTTCAAGATAGTTAACATCCATTTCAACATGAAATAAAGAAGAGTGAATGAATATGAAGTTAGCGGCCAACCGTTTTTATCAGTTCACTTCAAAAATTATTAAGAGACAAAACATATTGTTTGCATGAATAATCAAAATTGACCTTCATACTTTGTAACTATTAAAAAAAGTGGAGTCTTAAAGGTAACTGAATGTGCATGAGAATTATTTTAACAGTATACAAATAAAGTATTAGCATACCACGTGAACATTACATTCTGTAGATATCACAAAAATATCTCATAAAAGTTTCGAAGTGATTATAGCCACATTTATATTCAGTCTCTCTCTTCAAAAATTCCTGATACATTTGATAGTCCACAAAGTTCTGAAGATAATTTGTATTAAAGAATAGATAGCAATCAAACTACAACTGAAAATAAGGAAGCATCGAAAGATAAGTTTTTCTGACTCTGATTTCCTTGATCAGCATACATTGGTGAAGGGGAAGTTCATTAAAACTACTATGACTCTTCAATCCATTAACTTGGAATACATTTTTAAATCTTTTCACTAACTTATATATGGATGCTTCGCCGAGCTTCGAAATGAAAGTTATAGCACTTGGAGGCAACAGTACGAAAATTAATTGCAGTGACAGCAGTTAAAACATGGAATGATTTGTCATTTATTGTGAACTAATTAAAATAATGCAGCCATTCAATCGAAATTTTCTTCATACTATACAACCTAAGAGCCTGTTTTATGTTATAGTGTGGATGAGCATGTCAAAACAGACTATCAATATCCGCTCATTTATAGAGATGTTTCGACAGATAGGTAGTTGATTATTTATTCATTTTGAAGTGAAAGCGGATTTTAATTTGAGGTAGTATTCATCACGGACTGACATCAGTTGGAGAACAGTTGAAAACTTGTGAGCATTGGACAGCTGTTTCGTCCTAACATGGGACTCCTCAGCGACACGCATCACTGACCCGGCTCGGGATAGGTCTCAGGACCTTTGGTTTTCACTGCAAAGCATTAACCATCCAGCCACTGGGTTAGAGCTCAATGGTTGACAGTTTACAAAATCTGTCAGTTTGCAATATAGCATGGCTACTGTCAGATGTCTTCAGTTGGTATCCACTTCTCTCCCGACTGGTTGACCCCACAGGTAGCGACTTCTCATTAGAACTTCGGAAGATCCATCTAGAAGCATGTCGCTAATAAGCAACATACAGTAACGTATTTTGAGGTGAATGGGGATTTTAATTTTGAGGTTCGCCGTGAAACCTGAAGGTCCTGAGTTCTATCCCTAGCCGGGTCAGTGATGCGTGTCGCTGAGGAGTCCCATATTAGGACGAAACAGCTATTCAGTGCTCGCAAGTTTTCAACTGTTCTCCAACTGATGTCAGTCCGTGATGAATACTACCTCAAAAAATATTTACATATATATATATATATATATATATATATTATGTCTGTTGACCACGGCCATCTCAGACAGTCTCGTTACCAGTTAGCTGGTAACTACCTCTTCTGAAATCATTTCAATGGAAGCACAGTTACATATCACTAGTTAACATAATAATGGATTCAAACGTCATGTGAATATGATGAAAACGGAAAGTGGGTTGTAGTTAGATCTCATATTTTATTAGGTTGTTAGCTAGACCAGTAACATGGATGTTCTAAGTTCAAATCTTACCACTTATTAATTTTCCGTCTATTCCCGTTCAATCATTATTTTGCGCCAGTCAAAAACCATTGATCGTTACATGCCATGAATAGAAAGGCAACAACTTGAACGAATAACATTCTTTTCAATAAGTTCTTTTCAGGTTCTACAATCATAAAATGCATTTGTACAGCGTGAAATCAAGCCATGTTAGAGGCAGATACATTTTCAAAATGGAGTGAGACTTACAAACTGTACGGAAATCAATTTTTGCTTCTTAAATTTGTCCATATTGGGAAGAAACATATAAAGATGAATGATATGGCAGTGATCAAAAAGATGACGAATAAAAAGCCGGGGGTGACCTTTAGTTTACTGAAGACCAAGGGAAAAGTAATGCTTGGACATGTTCTTTCTGAATGCAGAGTTCAGGTCTGGTCAGTCTTGTTGCAACAGCCTCAGCTGTGTTGGACAGGTGTTAGCGAGCTTCATGTGGTTCGTTTTTGGAATACGATGAATGATACTAAAAGCTTTTTTGGCATCTATGTGATGCTCTGTGTCTACTAAATGCGTTAGAACTAAACTTTTCACTTCACCCTCTTCAGACCAAGCTGGTAAGTGTTTTCATATCCGGAGACACACCTGCTTAATCGTACTCGCAATGTTACTTGTTCCCGTGACCAGTTTAAATGAAATATGCATGATAAAAGAGCTAAGATTAGATAGGCTATCCTTTAGTCTTGGAGTGAGCATTGGCTGACTACTGAATGACATACAAAGCCGACCTGCATAAAACGTCCCATTGACTGCTCTAGCTAGGAGTTATGTTGAAATGTCACTTGAAGCATCCCTCTTGAATTTTTAGTGCAGAAACAAAGGCTTCTTCTCCACCAACATCGGTTCTCATTTAGAATCAGTGTACATGATGTTAGCTTCGATGAACTTATCCGGATGTCCATTTTCACTTGGAATACCAAGGATGCACAGTAGTTCTTTTTCCAAACACTCCTTGGAACAAACCTAATTTGCTCTAAATGCCAGACACCTGTCTATATTGTTTTTACTTCATTGGCAAGAAGTTGAGAAAGTGCGTATACTGTGCCTTAGACGTCGGTTTTCTAACAACACTTCTCAACATACAGCCGTCTTTTCTTGTCATTAGCACATCCAGAAAATGTATCAAGTCATTGATCTCATTTTCATATGTGGAGTAAATTGATGACTCAGCGCTGTTGAAATGGTTCAGGATGGAACGAATACCAAAGTACTTATCAAAGACTAAAAAGGTATCATCCATGTATCGAGAGTACAACTCCATATTGGCAATTTGATTTTTCAAAGGACCATTTTCCAATTTTGCTAAAAATATGTCTTTATATATTGGCCCCAATGGAGATTCCATAACCACTTCGTCAACTTATCTGCACAGACTACTACTGAAGATGAGGTGGACATTCATTGTACATTTTAGTAATAGTCCCTTCAAATTCATAATCGGAATGCTAGTGTCTAATTTATCATAAAAATTACTGAATGTCTGTTGCCAGTACATATTTATCATCAGCAGTTTTTAGCAATTTTAATAAACATCCTCCTATTTTTCATACGTCAAACTATTTTAGAAGAATTTTTCTCGTAGCACTAGTAAGCTTATCTACAACAGCTTATTACAACTTAAGTCCAACAAAAAACAGGTGTAAAGTACGTCGACAGTGTTTGTAAAATAATTAAAAAGGTATCATTTTTCACCAGTAAAGATGGATAGGGGTTAGCAGTATATATATCAAGGCATCCGCACAGGAGCCTATATGCCAATAGAGACCGATCAATTCGGTCCAAACAACGACGGTATAGTACAAGCAATCGTAGTAAGGCAAAACCTAAACTTTAATCACAACCCTAGAATAATAATCATTCTCATAATTCAAGAGTAATGGCTAATCCTCGGTTGATTCTTCGCTTATGCTAATAATAATAATAGTATCGTCATAAATGTAGACTTTGGATGCATAGACATAAAGTTGATATATTTCGTATCCATTGTTTTCAAGAAGAAAGGAATCAATAATGATTGTAACCAATATAACCTTAGAATGTACTGTTCTTGAGGAACCAGTGCAAGAAAAACTAGGAATGCAACATACTGAATCAGGATTCAGGAACTCAGATGGCACAGAAGAACAATATTCGAGATACAGTGGGGAGTTGGATGATAACAGTTTCACACTTGTTGAAAAATTCTGGACAACTTTCGCAATCGAGTATTTTTTTTCCTTATTTATCCTACAGCTAACTGAGGAAAAAAGGTAACTTTACAGTTGTTTTGTCTTGAACCAGGACTCTTCAGTTGTTTACACTCTTAATTACCTTTGGTAGTAAACTTGGGAATTCTGAGTTTGGTGGTGAATATTTCTCTAACAGTCAATTTAGATGAACCTGCTGATTCCAGATGACATGTAATAATTGTCATTCAGCGAAACTAGCGGTGGTCATCACTTTCAGCTCTCTTGAAAAGAAATATTATGAAGTAGGTCTTTCAAAGCATTTTATCAACTCACTCCCTTTCTTTATCGTATACGTTGTTCGAAACAAAGAATGAAGTAATGTGGGACATTCAACGTGCCTGCCATTCCATTCTGCAGAACTGAACAAAGTAGTTACTTTTGCACTAAGATTTGTGATAAAGTGTGCAAATATACTGTGCTGGTAAATGATACATACTTTTCATTACATCTATGATATGGTGATGAACCACATGATTTGCAAACTCTTTGAAAATGTAGTTTTTGTCGGATGAATACTAAAATAACTAAGAATCATATCTCTATTTATAACTGTCGATTTCTAATAAAACATTGAACATCATATATGACAAAGAAATATTCCTTTACAGTTAAGTCAACAATCACATCACATTTTACTAACCAGCTATGACCATTCTGATGTGGTACTATTTCCTAACTTGATAAATAACTGTGTTTCACATCTTTAAAAAAGAATTAAAGTGATAATAACAATTTAAGAATTGTTTTAAACAAACTGATTATTGTATACCACTAACAATTCATTGTAAAGCATGCATGACTACCATTGCATTCAAAATGCTAACATGAACTCAGAAAGTGATTGTGTTATCTATAATAAGGTGTCAAATAACACCACAGTTATATGAACACTTTAAACTATCGAATGGTAGAATCAATTACATTGGTATGCTACAAGACTCAGAACTTAGAATGTTTTGATTTATTACATATCCCAAAGTTAAATGATAAAATTGTTATCAATTGTAGTTGACTAATTCCATCTATATAAACGATGCAAGAATGACATTTTATCACCCATGAAGAGAACCGCAACTTAGAAGATGCATTATGAAAGTCCAAGGAATGTCACAAGTCAATTAAATTTACTATGAAAACTGAAAATAACTCAGA